TTTATTAAAAAAACCCCCATTATTTGAATTATTAGCATTCAAATAGCCAGCTGAGGATGTGGCTTTTAGAGTTAGCATTTCAAAGAGAAGTGGGTGAAACAGATAGGCAGTCACCCTGCTCGAGCAGTGAATTCCAGAGCAGGAGATCTGCAGATTAGGCATAGCGCCTGTCATTTCTGCGCCTCGCACTGTCTTGTAGGCATAAAAGATGAAAAGTTTCTATGCTGAAACATCAGATCGATCTTAATGCTTGCTCTGCATGAACAACTTGTGCCATGACTTTATCTCCTTGTCCTTGATGCTGTTGATTAGTGCGCCAATTATAAAAGAGGTTTTCATTAGCGTGAATGTTTATAACTTCCTCCGTAGGTAGCTTGCGGCTGGCTGAACAGTATTGCCTTTTATTTGCAAAGCCTCACACGACTTGCATGCGATCATCTGTCTTAGTTGGTAACAAATCATGTGTATTATGGTATGTTTTGTTTTTGTAGACAAGATGTGAAATGGAGAAATACCTGGCACCTCAGCTCCCGCCTGTTCCTGTCATCCCCGAACATAAGAAATACAGAAGAGACAGTGCCTCGGTTGTAGACCAGTTTTTCACCGACAGCGAAGGGTTGCCTTACAGCATCAACATGAACGTCTTCCTCCCCGACATTAGCCACCTGAGAACTGGCCTGTACAAATCTCAGCGACCCTGTGTAACACACATCAAGACAGAGCCGGTCACCATCTTCAGTCACCAGAGCGAAACTACTGCCCCTGCCCCTGCCCCCACTCAGGCCCTCCCCGAATTTACCAGCATCTTCAGCTCCCACCAAACCCCCGATGTGAACAACATTTTCATCAAGCAGGAGCTTCCTACTCCAGATGTTCATCTTTCCGTCACGCCCCAGCAAGGCCAGTTATATCAGCTCTTGAGCTCACCGGATTTAGATATGCCCAACACTACTACTCAGGCAGCCGTGATGGACTCCCTTAACAATGTCTCCATGCCGTCAGCCATGGCGGGCCTTAACACGCTCTCCTCGGCTGTTCCACAGACTGCAATGAAACAGTTCCAGGGCATGCCCCCCTGCACCTACACCATGCCAAACCAGTTTCTGCAGCAGCAGGCCACTTACTTCCCTCCTTCGCCCCCAAGCTCAGAGCCTGGAAGTCCAGACAGACAAGCAGAGATGCTACAGAATTTAACCCCTCCTCCATCCTACGCTGCAACTATAGCTTCCAAGCTGGCAATTCACAATCCGAATTTACCAGCGACTCTGCCCATAACCCCCCAGAACATCCAGCCAGTCAGATACAACAGGAGAAGTAACCCAGATTTGGAGAAAAGACGTATTCACTACTGTGACTATCCCGGTAAGCGATCCGTGCCAGAAGATCCCAGCTCTTGCAATAAAAAAAGGGTGAATAATCGTGGGCGAGGTATAAGTGGTTTTCTTTAGCTGTAGTCTACACCTAGGGAAAACCAAATCATTTCTTGTTGGAGAAGAATTTTTCTTCTTTTTTGTTTTACTTTGTGTAGCACACTTTCACATTCTTTAAATAACTTACACCCTTTTCTTCATGTCATTTGGTACTTTCTTAAACACCTGAGCTCATTTTACCGTGTTACAAAACTTGTACCCCATAGGGGGGAAAAAAAAAAAAAAAAGATGGCCTTCTCTAATTTATGTCAGTGTGACTGTGCATCTCCTGCTCCACTTTTCCACTACCTGCGATGGAGCAGAGGCTCAGTTTGTCCAGCGCACTACAGCTCAGTTTGAATCTGCTGGCGCTGAAAGAATCATTTCAGCTCCCGGTAGTCAAGGCCGTGGCCGTTTCATCCCTGTTACGAACAGGAGATTAAGCTGCCCACATAAATCCATTAAAGCTACCTCTGCAAACTGTCCACAGATGGATTCCTTTCCAGCCTCTTCTCCTGCGCTGAAGGGGAAGAGGAACCTGACTATAAACTGTGCCTCCGTGTAGGACGTGATCCCAGCTACAAGATGCTCGCACCCGTGCGAGCACGGAGAGAAATCGCTGCTCGTGGTCGATCTCCCCCTTTACCAGCATAACTCCTAGCGGCGTATCACCCGTATGGTGTGCCGTACGATAAGTGCTCAATGGAAAAGTTCTCTTGAGCCCTGGGTGACGATGACACCGAGTCTGGCTTGGGCAAATTCTCTAGGAAATTTTTAAAAAACAAAGTCCCCCTCTGAGTTAATTTATGTAGCAGGTGTTACTGTACGTAGATTGTAGCAGCTATTGGTCTGTACTACGTTACAAGGTAGTAAGTCTGACGGAAACATACGTGGTTTTCTCTTTTCTGTGTAAAGCAACATCTCCCTAGGAGCTTTCTATATCAAATTTTACTTCTAAATGCTGATGGTGCCAGAAGGTAGTAAACTTAAACGTTTCCAGATAGTACCCCAGCACTGAGGGAGGAGGTTTAAATGTAACGTGGAGTGTTCCTGTTCTCCCTGCTGAAATGCCTCTCTGCTTTTTTGTTTTGTTTTGTTTTAGGCTGCACGAAAGTTTATACAAAGTCTTCTCACTTAAAAGCGCACCTGAGAACTCACACGGGTATGTACTCACTCTCTCACTGTCTCTTGCTCATTCATGGCTTACATATTTTCTGAGAAAGCAAGTGTGTTTGATGTGCCATCTTCTCCCTGTTTTCTGTAGAGTGGTGTGGGTTCAGGCTGGCAGTTCAGTTAAGAAAAATTTAAAGTTTGGTCAATGAGAGGAAAAATTGCTTTTATTCTCAATGCAGTTTTGTTAAACCTTTTATAATACAGAACTCAAAATAGCTAAGAATAAAACAGGTGGAAACTTTCCTTTTCAATCTAAAATGCCATAAAATGTTTAAAAAAAGGTTTATTTTCTCCTTGAATAACGTATTAAGCATAGTAAACATGTTATAGTTTTCAACGTTTATCTTAAATAGGTAGAATTTTCTGGTTTGGGCTTTCTCTTTGTCCTGTTAGAATTATTTAATCTTAGAATTTTTCAGAAACATCATGAAAACTCCCAAGATATCTCCTTTTGCTTCGTCCTTAGCATTAAGTGTGCTTTTTTTTTTTTTTAAGACAAGTGGTTCTGTATATTTATTTTTTTAAAAAAAGACATAATTTCAATTTTTTTGTCGGTGAAAGACATTAAAATGGAGGAAATGAAAAGTGTCGGTGCGTCACACTTGGTTTTTGTACCTTGATCAAATTCTGCCTGCAGCTACAGGCGCGGTCCCTGTTCATGGGCCCGCGTGGAGCGGAGCTGGGGACAGTGTTGCTTGTGCGTGGGCGCAGGAGCCATGCGTGCAGGGGACAGCGGTTGGGAGGTGGAACCGCTGTAGGTGTCCTTCCTAAGCATTCACCTGCTGAGGCAGGGGGAAGGAGGAGAGAGGGAAACGGGGCAAAAAACGTAGCTCCCCAACAGCACACCGGAAACTATTTAGGACAGTTCTTTGCTGGGCTCTTAGTATAGATCTGCTCATGCTAAATCAGTGAAAAGCGCATGACTGATTTTGTAAAGAAATTAAATGAGAGGGCTGCGACTCCTGTTTTTAAAACCGAGCATGAACCCCAGCTCTTCTATGCATGGACCTCAATTCAGAGCAAAGCACAAGTCACAGTTCAAGCAGCTCACTTACTGAGGCAGGCTGTCAGCGTCATGGCTGTGCCGTTCAAGTAATGGGATTTCACCTAAGTTTAAACCAAAAGTCAAAACTTAACACGAGCTACGATCTAACAAAATATTTCACTATCTCTATGGAAACAAGGCATTTTATTCAGCAGCTATTTTGAGTCGATCGTTGGATTATTGTAAAGATATTGAGTATCTCCAGGCTAAATGTTACTATGGAAATTTTCTTTTGATAAATGAAAGAGTTACCTGTGTTGCAGTCGCAGTTAAAAATTAAAAGCAACTGTACAAAGATTATTGCTTTGCATTAGTAATAGACTAAACAAGAACACTGTTAAAAATATTTTTGTTATGTATAATCGCTCATTACCAGCAAGCTTAGTAAGCAAGGAATATCTTCATGAGGCTATAAACCTGAGTAATGTCAGAGAGTATAATCCCATTGCTCTTTAATAAATAATCTGTAAGTTTAAGAGTGCGATTTCCACTTATGCACTTTAGCCAGCAACTAAATACCAGTTTTAAATATCTCGCTTGCTATTATACAATAACTAGGAAGAGAGAGAAAAACAAAGCTTTAGTTTAAAAATGAAGGTTACATAGTCATAATTTGAAACTTAACACTTTTCCTTTTTAAATCAGTTTATATCTTTTTTTGTACCTTGAATAGTAATGACTTTAGGGTTTATAAAGTTAATACTTGTGTGCATAGAAATACACACCACGTAGCTAACACATATTGCTTAGGGTCATTAATGTTTATTGTTGCCTTCACTTTTTTACCTATAGATATTTGACCTTAGAAATGTGGATAAATGTGCAAAGGTCAGAGGAGCTGATGTATTCATGGAAACAAGAATGTTGTTTTAGATAAAAATCTGGTGAACTTAAGCAGGTCTGTAATACAAAGGGTCTTCTGGGGAGGTGAATGAAGGGATAAACTGTCTAAAGCGTGCATTACATGCAAGAAATGTGAGTCCGTATCCTGTTACCTGCATTATTTCAGAGTTTGGATTAGTTTAACTCTCTTGAATATTCACTTAATACTTGAATATTTCCAGCACCGATTCTGATCTCTGCTTTAACGTACTGTTGAAATGTGTATTACCCAGTACCGTAAATCAATGTACTGAATGTTAAAGTAAATGAGTGCGAACTCGGGGAAACCTGTGAAGTTGCACAGCTCTTCCAGGATTGCACAGGGAATCTCCCTATTGATCTCCAAAGAGAAGGGCTCAATGGCCGAGGGCTAAATTTGGGTGTGTGTCTCTGTGCAGCGCATCCCCCAGAACTCTATGAATTCATACAGCACTATCGAGCTTTGATTTTTTTTTTTTTTTTTTTTAAAAGGACTCTTGTGAAGCTTTTACCTTCAAAGTCTAAAGCAAGTGTCACGTAATCCATTTTAATAAAGTTGTGTGTGATATTCTTTCAAATCCCTTCAGGGATAGCAGACCTGTTTATCTGGCTAAACCCGTTCTTTAGTAATCATGGACCACTGAAGTTGTTTTCTCCTTATTCTTAGTTTCTTAACAATACCTTTTAAAATTGGCTGCAGTCTCTCTCTCATCCCAACCAGTCCCCGCCCTTCTCAGCAATCTGTCATCTTAAAATAAAAGAGCCTGCAGCAAAGTTTGTCTGCCATTAAAAGTCAAGACAGACCTTATGGTTTTCCTTTTGTATTGGAAAATCTCAGCCTTTTCACAGTATTTATTTAGCAGCCTTTCTCTTCTAAAAGGTTTTCACTGGGTTTAGTAGATGTTTTTTGAGAACAAACCTAAGGGAAATGTTGGGTTTTGATAGGTGGAATGTAGGCTGTAGTCTTTTTTCCAATTCAGATATGAACACACTGTCAGACTTCATAAATTACATTTAAATAAAACGATAGGAAATGGGCAAGAGGAAAATCTCTTGCGTTTTTCTTCTTAGGTGTTCCCAAGGTGTTTACCTTACACCAAGTCAGGTGGTATAAGCTGCTATAGTTATTCTGATTTAATGTAATTACACTGGACTTTTGCTGCTGATTAGGAATCCAGTATTCCCGTAAAGAGATAAGCAAGGTTAATCTATTTGTACCAGTTGCTGGAGCAGGCACCCATTTTTCTTTCTCTAGGTAATGCTTCAGCGTTTGTAAATTATGAAGTAAATTTTAGTTGTTGTTAAACTGGTAACCCCAAAATCGAACATGAACAAAGATTCGAATGCTGAAATGATACAGGACATTTTGTATCCATCTCCATGCAGTTCTGGAGCAGATGTCTGGTACACTTCAATGCCTTAAAACACTTCAGTGTGGTATCTTAACTTGATACTAGTTATTCCTGAAACAGGCAAAATGGTCTTCAGTATGCTAAAGTACCTGTTGGAACATCTTTCAAAACAGATTGGAATTTTTGACTTTTTGAAGCAGGGATTGTCTTTTAAAATAATTTTACCTGTTAGTCATGGAACAAGTTTCGTTTCATTAACTGGCATTGTGCAACTACGGTATATAATGGGGGAGGGGATAATGCATTTATTGCAGGCTGTCCAGCAGTAAAACCACCTTCAGGCTCTGACATAACAGCTATGTGTCCAACTTGGAAAACATGCCAAATGTCAGTGAAAAGCAGTTACTTTTGTGTTGTAGATAAACCTCCTTTGGTTCCTTTTCTCCCATCTGAGTATGTACACGTATCTCAAGTGATCCTTTAGAAACAGCGGTCCTACGACTTATCCTGTTAGATTTCTTTATATGTCAAAAATTTGGATTGTGGAAGTTGAGCCTTTGATATGCAAGCACCTGGAATACCCTACCTGTACTCTACCTGTAACGCTGCAGAAGAGCTGCTGCCTCCAAGGGTGGGTTTTTTTTTTTTTATTATTTCTGTGAACAGCTGCACACTTCAGAATTGTGTGTGGTTTTAAGAGGAAAATCTGTCATTGTTTTGAACACATCAAGGCATGCACATTGAGGACATTTTCCAGCTGCATGTTGGTTTTCCGTATACAGAGTCTTTGTACAGGCATGTTCTCTGGTCACATGGTGGGCTTGCCATTAATAGTTTCTAGCATTAACTGCAGAACTATTTCATCTCTATCTATAGATCTAGTTTGTATTTGGTGATGGGAAGTGGAAGCCGAGATAACTCGAGAGAAATGGCATTTCTCTAAATGAGATGCACTCAAAATACTTCCACCGTCCCTAGTTATTTCAAATGTTTATATAGGCATGGGACAGCTGCTGACTTGTGTGGTTCCTCAAGGTGTTAAACGTTTTATTTTAATTTAGATCTCTGCCTCAATAGATCCCGAATTAGGCTCTGATGGTACATCAGAATTAGAGACAGTTGTGTGCAGTAGACTTCAGCAGTCCTTAGGACTTGGCACTCCAAGTTTACTGTAGCTGTGTACGGATGCTTGTTAAAGGTGATACCATATAGAATTGCCTGGGAATTCAGGATGCCCGTTGTTGTTCAGAAGTGAAGACAGGTGGTAGTTGGACTCGCTGCTGGGAAAAAAGCACCTTGCGAAAACATGTATTGACTCAAATCATCCGGCGACTTAGGCGAGGGATTTCACTTCTGGTGTACAAGTGGAGAACGGAGGCCCCGAAAGACTCTACCTTGCTCATGGTTGCAGCGTTCTGTGTATATAGCAAACCTCACCCTGGAAAAAATCTTTGCATCATGAAAATAGCTATTAAGTAATATTTCTGTGCAGACTATGCTTCTTTAACCTGTTAGATGAGCCAGTTGCACAGATTATACTTTAAGGAGGTGTCAGTAAATGCCATCATTGATAGAGACAATAAGGAAAAATGGGGGAGAGTTAAATAAAACTGTTGACAAAGTGCATTAAAGTGCAGTGTTGCTAGACACTGTTGGAGAATATGTTGGTATCTTTTATTTATGAATTCTGCTAAATCCATTAGTTGCCTCTGTGAGAAATGGAAGTACATT